ATAACAGCAAGCATGTGGGAAAGTTGCTTTATGATATAAAATGTCAGTATTGTTTTCTATCAAAGTGATTTTCGTTTCATTAATTTATTATAAAACCCCTAAAATGTATTAAATTCCAAATCTCAAGTGAAAAATTCAGCAGGTTTTTTTTGCAAATAAACAAAGACCCCAAAGTCAAATGTACTGAGTTAGCCTATATTTACTGAGTCCTCATGTTCCCTGATACCATAACTATGACATGCAAAAGGAAGAGGATTCTGCAAATATAAGCTATTTCCTGGCCAACTACTAGATTCAACTCTAAGAAGTGGGAGCAAGGATCAGAAAAGAGTAAATAAAAGCTACCACTGATTTTTTTCCAATCAGTGGTAACATTAACAGAGCTCTAGATCTCCTGATAATTTGTCTTTCAACAGTCTCTTGGAGCTTGGCATAAAACTCTTCATATAAAATGATATGAGACTGGGTGCAGTGGCTCATGCCTGTAATCCCAGCGCATTGGAAAGCCAAAGTGGGTGGATCACTTGAGATAAGGAGTTCTAGACCAGCCTAGCCAACAAGGTGAAACCCTGTCTCTACTAAAAATACAAAAATTAGCCGGGCATGGTGACACATGCCTGTAATCCCAGCTACTTGGGAGGCTGAGGCATGAGAATCATTTGAACCCAGGAGATGGAGATGGCAGGGAGCCAAGATCAGCAACTGCATTCCAGCCCAGGTGACAGAGGGAAACCCATTTCCTTCAATTTTCAAAACTGGCCCCTAAGCTTTCCTGGACATTGCTATTAAAAGAAGGTACTAACAGTCATGGCTCCATCCCTTTGGGGTTCATAATCCTTTTCTTTACCTCATTCTGGCATGGATCAAGTTTTGTGCCAATATCTTAGTGGGTGTGGGGAGAGGAGGGTGAAGGATACATTTACTGAAAGTTATGATGTGCAAGGAATTTATATTATTTTGATTTATTTAAAGACATACATTATTATATGAAGATGTGAGTGGCTCACACCTATAATCCCAGCACTTTGGGAGGCCAAGGTGGGCAGATCACCTGAGGTCAGGACTTCTGGACCAGCCTAGCTGACATGGAGAAACCCCGTCTCTACTAAAAATACAAAAATTAGCCAGACGTAATGGTGTGTGCATGGAAAACAGTATTCCAGGAAATAAAGGCACTGACAGAGAAATGGAAATAGAAGACACATCTCTACCTGAAGATAATCTAATAATACATGTACAAATGCACCTCAGTGATAACATATGTAAACCACAGATTACAACTTTACAGAAATACTGACATTAGAATTCCACTCCACCCCCTTTTATAAAAAAAAAAAAAAAAAAAATGAAAAGGCACAAACTTTTCCTGTGTTAGCAAGTTCAACTCTAGTCTTTTTCTCCCTAAGCCACGTAGAGTGGGACATCAACGGGGAGCTCATGTTAAACCTCTGAAAATCAAACACCAAATGCAAGGTTAAGTTTACCTGGACTCTTAACTGGCTCTAGTTAAGGACCACAAGGACTTAGTCCTTTTTGCCAGTTGCGACCTTGCAACAAGCTCCTTCCTCACCGTCTGTTGGGATGGTGGTGATGAGGGGAAGTGCGATGCTGAGAAGCTTTGTATCTGAAACTCCCTCTTCTCTGGTGCGGGGCTGTCTAAGGGAGGCTTCCCTTTATGGGAGAAGAACAAAAAGGGATATTGCCCCTTGATGGAGAAGAAGAGAAGTAAGAAAATGTTTGTGTTTCTGCCAACGTAGAGAAGTCACACAGACTTGGGTTGGACTCTGAACCCCTGTTTCCTCATCTGGAGACTCAAGAAAGATCTATCAGAGTTTGTTGTGAAGGTGAAATCTGATTATGTGCAAAGAGTCTTTACCTGGCACACTGGAGGCCCTCAAAAACTGTCTTCTCTCCACAAAGAGCGTGGAGGAAAGAAGAGTAAGTGCCCGCAGGGGTACAAATCCGACCTCCCAAATCTGACTCCGCAAGACCACCAATTTACCTCCCAGGAGGGTGACTCTGCCCAGCCCCGCGCCTGCCGACGCCGCCAAAGCCTTGACAGTGGTCCCGGGTGCCCGCGGAACGGGCCGCCTCACTCACCTCGAGCGTAGCTAGCTGCAAGCTGGGTCTGCCCGCGGTCCAGCGCTGCCGGCCTCTTATAGAAGCGGGCGTCGGAGCGAGCCAATGGGCGCCGGGGGCAGCCGGGCAGCGGCCAATGAGAAGGGAGGCCCGGCGGGCGGGCGTCCTCCTGGCGGACTGGCGAGAGCATACAAACCAAATACATATGCATTTTGTTTGTAAAGCAACGCTCTGATGAGCTAACACCAACGGTACCTTTTTCTCATGAAAGGCAGAGAGTCATTCTACCGCGTTTCCGGGCCTAAGGACGCACTGCTGGGCAGGACACCTGAGCCCGGCACGCTGCTGGCAGTCGCGCCCGCCTGCGCCCCGAGACTCGCACGCCTCAACCTCTGCGTGTATCTGACTGGTGTTTTAATTAAGTAAATGTTAGGCCATCAGAAGTCTGACTAACATTGAACAATCCAGAGGTGGACATTCCCTCCAAACCAAGATAACGTCTGTTATCGACATAATGATCTGCTACAGGACTGCAATGCGTCTCGCCTGTTGGAGACCAAAGCAGGAACCCCCCACCTCCCACACCTCTCTGTGCTTCTGGGCTGTTAATAGCCCAGTCCTGCCTCATTATTCTCGTGGTGCCTTCTCCTGTTCCTTGAGGCAGAGCAACAGTTGAACTTTTTAGAAGAGAAGTGTTCAGTGTCCTTCTAAGTTAAAAATATTTTAAGCTGCAAGCAGAGAAGCATTCTACATTAGCAAAAAATCATGTAACCTGCTATTGTGAACAACACGACACAGAAGCAAAAAAACTGAAATAGGTATTCATTGGTTGAGCAGTCAGTCGATTAGCTACTACCGCAAAGGGCTGTATATGTAACACAGTATAAGAGACTCTTTTCTCCATTCCTATTCAAAAGAAAATAAAACAACATCCTCGTCCTTGTCAACAGAGGGTGTTCTTAATTGCCTTAATGTTAGACAATCTCAATAGCACAAATCAGTATCTAATTTTTCAATTAGTATTTTTCTAATTAACAAAGCCAAGCATCTTTTCAGACATTCGTTCACATGTGAACTTATTTCACTGCTCAATGCTCGATATAGGGATATGAACTGTCTGCAATATGCAGCACTGTCATCCGAGCCTTTTGTTTGCCTTTAATGTCATTTCAGATGTCTCGTATCTCAAAACTTTTAAAATTTGTTTTTATAAAGTCAAATCAAGCTTTTAGGCTGGAGTTCAAGGGGGTCCCAAAATCACACCCTTCTCTTTCTTCCAAGTTCTAAGCCAGACAGATGGAGATTAGTTGTGAGGCAAGGAGTAAGTGTGGAAGCAGGGAGATGGGTTGAATGGCTACTGAAGGGTTCTGGCTGAGATACAGTGATGGATGCGGAGGTAGAGTGGAGATGAGGAATCACTTCTCGGCATCTTGGCTAAGTTCAAGTGTAGAGTGGAGATGAGGAGAATGGAGGACCAACTGAGCACATGCTTGAGAGATGGAGTCACTAGGATTCAGCTGATGGCAGGATAAGGGGATGGTAAGGGAAAGGGGTCAAGAATGACTCCTAGGCTTTTTACTTGGCAATTGGGTAGGTTGCCGTTCCACTTACAAAGACCAGGACTGGGAAGACAAAGAGCAGGTTTTGCACGGAGGAGAAAATCAAGTTTGTTTTTGGACTTGTTAAATTTCAGATGCCTCCTAGCTATCCAAATGAAGATGTCATGTAGGCGTTAAATAGAGCTCTAAAATTCAGAAAGAGGCTGCAGATATAAATGTAGAGGTCACTGCATAACGATCATATTATAAAGATACTACACAGGCTGGCCAGGGTGGGTCATGCCCATAATCCCAGTACTTTGGGAGGCTGAGGTGGGAGGATTATCTGAGCCCAGAAGTTCAAGATCAGTCTAGGCGACAAAGTGAGACTCTTTCTATACAAAATTTTAAAAAGTTAGGGAGGCATGGCAGTCCCAGGTACTCTGGAGAATGAGGCGGGAAGATGACTGGAGCCCAGGAGTTTGAGGCTGCAGTGAGCCATAATTATGCCACTACACCCCAACATGAGTGACAGAGCTAGAGAGACTGGATGAAATTTCTTACAGAGAGAATATACAGAGAGACAAGAAAGAGGCCAGTACTGGACCCTGGAGCACATCAAGTTTCAGAGGTCCTTCAGAGTGGACAGCAAGGAGGGAGAAAACTAAGGTGAATGTAATGTTACAGAAACCAAGAGGAGAACGTGGCTTAAGAAGGAAGGATTCATCAGTTGCCTTGAATGCCACTTCAAGTTGAGGACAGACATGTACCCAATAGATTCAGCATCAGAGACAGCACTGGGATCCTTGATGAGCAATTTCAGTGGTATAGGGTGGAGGGAATCCAGTTTACAGGGGCAGAGATGAGATTAGGTCACAGAGATCTTTCGGGAGTTTCATCGTAAAGGGGAGCAGAAAAATGGAGAGAAATGTGGGGTAAAGGGAGGGGTTTTTTGGTTTGTGTTTGCTTTTTTAAAGTAAGCAACCTAGAAAGAGGATGTTCTAGTAGGGCAGAGGAAATAAGGAAAGTAAGAGTGATTTTAGGAGCAGAGCTCATCTTGCTGAACTCATTGGTTCTATTAGGCCAGTCAGGTAAGTCTCTTGACTTCCCAGGTGTATAATCATATCATCTGAAAATGCGCCTGAAAAAAATAACGGCACTTTTTAAAAATAAATGACTTTTATAAAAATCAGGATAGTGGTTTGTTTTGGGGAAACGCAGGAGCCGTGATTGAGAAAGAGCATATACAGGAGCTTCTGGATGACTGGAAAAGTTATTTGTGACTTATGACATCATCTAATTATCTGGATGTTCCATTTAATTTGAAAAGAATGTAACATTTCCATTTTGGGGTATGTAACAATCAGGATAGAGCAAACACACTTGCAATGACAAATTCTCCTTTATTATGTTAACATAATAAAGGCTTATTTCACTTTCACCCTAAGTTCAACATACTCTCCAGGGCAACTCCTCTCCATGTGGTTCTCTGTGTGCAGGAAATTTCCATCTTCTGGCTCTGCCATCTTAATCCATGGCTGTCACCAAAAAAGAAGAGAGTTTTGAGATGAAATACCAGCTTTTAAATGCTTTGACATTTAACTCATTGGCTATCACTAATCACTTCACTCTTTCTTACTACAAGAGGGTTGTTAAACATAATCTTCCCATAAGCTCAAGAAGAAGATAAAAACCAAACGTAGAGAGCCCAAATAGTCTTTATCATAGAGTACAAAGGTCAATATATGTGTGCACTTACAGTATAGGAATTAAGAGCATGAACTGTGGAGCCAAATGCAGTCCTGCCATTTACTTGGTTGTGTGACTTCAAGCAAGTTATTTCATTTTTCCATGCCTTGGTTTCTCAATCTGTAAAATTTGTCTCATAGGATTATTATAAGGATTAAATGAGTTCATATTTATGAAGCATTTAAAATACTGCTTGGCACATAGTAAGTGCTAGATTTGATTTTTAAAAAACAAATATATAAAATCAACAGTAGGTAAAATGTTATTCATATCCTCTATGTTCCTATTACTATTTTTCTTTTACTTAGCTTTCCACTTCTGAGAGACGAGTTTAACTTTCCTGCAATTTTTAAAATAATTACTCTTGGTATGTCTAACAAAATTTGCTTAACATATTTAGTTGGTCTTATTGTTTATTTTAAAGTTTATGGTTACATCTTATTATTCACTTATAAACTATCCCAAGTGTCTTTTTAATGTTTTTCCCCTTGATTCTGTTCTTTGTTTTGCAATTTCTGCTTTCTATTTTGTCATTATTTAATTTTTATCCCTGCCTTTATTGTGTTGTTTTAAGTTTGTCCCTTGTAAAAACAAACTGAATTGTCTCCAAACAGAATATTTATCTTTTAATAATGTCATCTATCCCATTCAAAACATATTACTGGTGTTTTGAGTCTTAAAATGTATTTTGATTTCTTTCTTTTTCTTTCTCAATCTGACCTTTGCTGGCTTGATCCAATTTTCTCTGGTCCTTTTTTAAAAATCCAGTGGTTTAGAAATTCTACATCTTTTTCCTAGTGCAATAGTGATTATCCTCAAATGATTAACAAACATATTTAAATGTATATATTCCTATCAACAGCAAGATTACTCGGTATTTACAACCTCTCTCCTTAACAAGACAAGGCATTTGGAATGCTCTTACTTCTCTTTTCCCTTGCCTCCCCCACCCCTGAACCTTCCAATGTCTCATTTGTTCATTCAACAAATATTTACTGAGCCTCAAATATGTGTTAAAAGCATCTGGAATTTTATTTACAAGTTGTTAGTACATTAACATTTAACAATTACCATCAAATATTACATTAACCCCATTAGTGATTATTTGATCTTTACTAACAATTTTCCTGGTTTGTCAGTTCATTGTTTGTAGAGGGCATTACAGGGGTTTTTTAACTTTTATATTTTTGTAGGTACATAGTAGGTGTATTTATGGAGTACATGAGATATTTTGATAAGGCATGAAAAGTGTAATAATCACATAATGGAAAATGGCATATCCATCCCCTCAAGCATTTATCCTTCGTGTTACAAACAATCCAATTATACTCTTATAGGTTTTGTTTGTTTATTTGAGACGGAGTCTCATTCTGTTGCCCAGGCTGGAGTGCAGTGGCATGATTTCAGCTCACTGAAACCTCTGCCTTTTGGGTTCAAGCAATTCTCCTGCCTCAGCCTCCCAACTAGCTGGGATTATAGGTGCTGGCCACCATGCCCAGCTAATTGTTTTGTATTTTTAGTAGAGACAGGATTTCACAATGTTGGCCAAGCTGTTTTGAACTCCTGACCTCAAGTGATCCAGCTGCTTCAGCCTCCCAAAGTGCTAGGATTACAGGCGTGAGTCACCATGCCCCACCTCTTATAGTTATTTTTAGATGTTCAATTAGATTATTATTGACCGTTGTCACTGGACGTTACTGTTTTTAGTGCGCTGCATCTATTCCCTTTTCTTCTGTTGAAAAAACTGTGGTTTTCTTCTTTCTCTCTCAGTCTCAGTCCATTTGCTTTGGTTGAACCTACTTCTACTCCTCCTGCCCTCTCCCCCATTTCTAGCACAGTTGCAGGACTCTGGACTGGCCGATGAGAGGATCAATAGCTTTTGGCCAGATTAATTGGTTCAACAACGAGCACATGACCCAATTTGGACCAGTAAGAATCAGGCCCAAGACTTCTGTTTGCAATTTAGAAGATAGTTTCTCTTTCTTATCTTTAACTTTGGGGGATAAAAGCCTGAAGTTCGCAGAAGTCATCTAGTGAAGAAGGCTTATTGAGTGTGACGCCAGTGTGGTATCTAGTGAAAGATGAAGAGAAACCAGGGCCTAAGGCATGGCTTAGGTACCTGGAACCATCCTACCTGAAGCTTGACTCCTTTTTTATTAAACCATAGGTTTTTTACCGATAAGTTACTGTTTTTCTATACCGTGAATATACTTTTTATTTTCTTGAAGTAAGTCCTTGAATATCTTTTTTCCAGAAAGATCGCATGAGTATTATACTTCGAAATGCTCATATGTCCAAGTGTTTCCATTCTAGAGTCTTGCTGTCTTTGTCATTTCATATCTTGCCTTGGGAAGGTAAGTAAAACTGGTACAGCATTTTACATGATGGCAGTTCAATGTTCATGTATTATAGATGTAGAAAAGGAACCGTTTTTAGGTAAAAATGAGGGAGGGCTTTATTATCAGACAAATATGAATTCAAATTCCAACTCTTCTACTTACTACCCGTGTGAGCACCAGCAAATTTTTTAACTTCTCTAAACCTTTCTTCATCCAAAAAATATAGATATAATATTATCTCCCTTGTGAGAATTGTGTTAATGAGATAATACATGTATGTCAATTCCCTAGATCAGGTCCTAGCACACAATAAGTACTCAGTAATTACAAGTTTCCTTCCTCTTTACTTTCTTTATGGTACCTCAATAAATTTCAACGAAGTATAATATCACAGAGAGGAACATTTAATACATGTTTTAACCCCCAATCCAAGTATCTTACCAGGGTTTGGAAAGGAACATGAGCATTCATGATCTGTGCAATTATTTTTTAAAAGTTATAATCCCAAGATGTTATACTTCTAAGATAATAAAAGTCATAATGAATTGTTAGTGTTGAGTCATTTAAGAAGTAAACAAAATATGAGTGTGTGGTATATGAAAAGTAGAGAGAACTTTCCTTTTTGTGTGCAGTAATCAAAGCAAAGTGTTGACTTGCCACAATACGCACACCTCAGGAAAAATCATTCTCTCCAAAATCATTCTTAGGCTGATCCGTAGAGATTGTAATACCATGCTAATATACAAACTGAGTTTAAAATGCATGCTAGTTGTCTTGTGACTGGAAATTTAGGTAAAAAGAATAGTTTTGGACATTACAATGTAATTTATGTGTATGGTTAAGAAAAATGTCCTTTCAGGGAAAAAAGTAGGCCTAAAGTAAAAGTTGTGCTTACTATTATTCAGCTATATATTGTGTGCATACAGCAAACTGAAGGTTTTTTTCTGATATCAATCTCTAAAATGTATATAGTGCTTTAAATTTTACAAAGTACTTTTATTTATATTGTTTACTTTGGTCATTAAAATAACTGAGACCCAGATGGTTCAGTAACTTATCTAAAGTTACACGGCTTGTAAATGGCATAACATGAACTAGAAACCACCTGTTCTCTCTCTCAGCCCTGTGCTGTTTTACTCATCATACTACCTCTTCTAAGAGGAAATGTGATTTGAACTCCAGTGAATGAATATGTACATGCTTAGCTTAGATCTTATCATTTACTCGAAGGAGATCCCTGTCACAAGCTACAACCATTTCCTAGAAACCACAGTTGCCATGGGAATGCTCCTTAAGCTTACTTGTCTATGACATTGTATTTGTTCCTTTGTTTCTCTCCTTGGCCATAAACTCTTTCAGGGCAAGAACTGTGCCTTTCACCTCTAGGGCAGGATCCAGCATAGTGCCTATTACAGAGAAGACTCTTAATAAGTAACTATCCAATACACACTTATTGAGAAGGAATATATGAATACAAAAATGAAGCTGGGCATGGTGGTGGGCACCTGTAGTCCAACAACTTGGAAGGCTGAGGCACGAAAATCACTTAAACCCACGAAGCAGAGGTTGCAGTGAGCAGAGATCATGCCACTGCACTCCAGCCGGGGCAACAGATTGAGACTGTGTCTCAAAAAAAAAGAAAAAAGAAAATCTATGTGAAATGTGAGAGAAATTCAAGACATGATAACAAAAACAAAATGCTCTCTGTCATCCTTAATCAGGAAGGTCAAAGCTCCATTTATGCATCCACATGTATAAACAGAGGCTGCTCCTTCAAGACCTCAGATGTTAGAAGCCATATGGCATTCTATCTATGTTCAAATTGAAATTAATTTGATGAGGCAAAGGGATGGAGGAGAGAGGTTAGGCCAGGACATAATCTCTTGAGTCCTCAAGATCCAGATCTACCAAATCTCCCTACAAAAAGCATAGTAATCTTCACAACATGACATCTTCAGTGAGCTCTCATAACGGGTAACACCCAAATGGCTTTACGGGAAGAGTGGTGTACGAGTCTGTTTACACACAGCATTACACAAATTTCATTCCAAGTCCCCTTCAATTCTCAATGACGCTTTTAAAAATTACAATTGGAAGCCGGGCGCGGTGGCTCAAGCCTGTAATCCCAGCACTTTGGGAGGCCAAGGCGGGTGGATCACGAGGTCAAGAGATCGAGACCATCCTGGTCAACACGGTGAAACCCTGTCTCTACTAAAAAAATACAAAAAATTAGCTGGGCATTGTGGTGCGTGCCTGTAATCCCAGCCACTCAGGAGGCTGAGGCAGGAGAATTGCCTGAACCCAGGAGGCGGAGGTTGCAGTGAGCCGAGATCGCGCCATTGCACTCCAGCCTGGGTAACGAGCGAAACTCCGTCTCCAAAAAAAAAAAAAAAATTACAATTGGAAACCCTATTTATCACTTGAACATCTCTGCTTCAACACATTACCTC